CAAGTTTTCCAGAAAGCATGTAAACTAATTTATCTTTAGTTTAAGCCTAATGCAAAGACACAAAGATTAACAAAACTAGCTAACCAGTTAGATCTAACCCATGCATACCTAAACAAAAGATGATTTTAGGACATTAAAAAAACCTGTAATCCGAAACACAGTTCACCTATTACTGCGATTGCATGCTAGTTTGAGAAGCACTTGATAGAGAAGTCATATCTGCTATATAATCATCACAGCACACAATCCTGGTCTTGATATTTTAAGTGTTTATATGCCTTAAGTTAATTTCTATGAACTGAAGAGCTTCAGTTATTCAAGTGACAGTCATTTCACGATTTTGGATTAACATTCAGAAACAGCTACCTTAGAGTGCAGAACTCTTGAAGAGAAGAAGTACATGCATACTAATGTTATCAGTGCAACACTAAATGACTCCCTAGACATTCACAGGAGAGTGTATGTCAGTGTCACTACTACACTAAATTCTAATTTGTGCTGTTATACTGTGAACTACTATAGGACTTCTTTGAAAAGAGCATTAGAGCAGAAAGGAAAAGGGCTCCAAATCTTAACTAGCAGTTTGCAGTAACACTGGTTTATTTCTAATCAATAGTAACAAGAAGTTCACTTATACAGTAAGTGAAGAATCTAATTTCACACAGCAATTGCTGTGGTTTGTGTCTCAACCTGGAATACTGCAGGGCAACAGTTAAATACTTCTCAATACTGAGAAATGTGTTGTTTCCAACCACTGTCTCAAATGCAGAAAGCTATGATGTGACTTAGTTTTCATAAAGACGCACAACTGCTTTCACACAAACGGCAAGTTACACATGTTATTGCACTGTACTACTTTGAATCAGAATCTGGGGTGCTCTAAGCCAGTGCGTCAATTGAGTTTCTTCAATTTCTCTTCAAGGGGAATTTCTTATTTTAATGTTGTTTCACTAGTTTTTTAAAAAAACTTGTCTGCTATTAGCCAAATGTTATTTTTGAGTCACACAGAATAAAGTTCATTATGTAGTTAACTGAATCTTTACGGGACAGAAGCGAGTTTAAAGCAAACATGCATGCAAAGCAGTACAGTGCTTCAATCAAAAGTATGGACATGTGTTTCAGTGATGTATAATTCAGTCACCACATCCATGCTCATTTTCAGTACCTGCTAGATACTTCATTTCTGATGGAGAATTCCAAGGAAGTAGGAAAAAAAGCAGAAGTGAAGATTACTAAAGTTCCAGATATCAAAACACTTGAGCAACTACAGAACTAATCATCAAAACTCTTAAATCATTGCCCTCTTACCCCTTGTTAAAAGGCTTGAAAAAACCCACTTAACTGCAAATCTTACTCAGTATTTTTCAGGGAACAAAATGCTCTTAAGATAACTGGAAATCAGTCATTTTGTGGCTGGAAAGTTGCCCAGTGGAAAAGGACCTCGGGGTGTTGGTCAACAATCTGCTGAACATGAGCCAGGTGGACAAGAAGGCCAATAGCATCCTGGTTTGTATCAGTAGTGTGGCCAGAACGAGTAGGGAAATGATTCTGTACTCAGCACTGGTGAGGTCACACCTCAAATACTGTGCTCAGTTTTGGGGCCCTCACTATAAGGGCACTGAGGCACTGGAGCATGTCCAGAGAAGAGCAACAAAGCTGGTGAAGGGTCTGGAAAGCAAGCCTTATGACGAGCAGCTGAGGGAGCTGGGGTTCTTTAGTTTGGAGAAAAGGAGATTGATGGGAGACCTTATCACCCTCCACAGCTACCTGAAAGGAAGCTGTAGCAAGGTCAGGGTCGGTCTCTTCCTGGTAGCCAGTGACAGGACTAGGGGAAGTGGCCTCAAGTTGTGCCAGAAGTTTAGGTGGGATATTAGAAGGAATTTCTTTACTGTAAGTATCGTCAAGCATTGGAACAGGCTCCTCAGGGAAGTGGTGGAGTCACCATTCCCAGAGCTATTTAAGATGCTCAGATGTAGCACTTATGGACACTTAGTGGTTGACTTGGCAGTGCTAGGTTAACAGTTGGACTCTATGACCTTAAAGGTCTTTTCCAACCTAAACAATTCTGTGATGCTATGACTGTCTTCACACCCAGGCTATTCCTGTTTTGTTTTGGGTTTCTGTTGTTGTTTAACAAAAGGTGAATGCTGTCTCCCTCCAAGCTGCTTGTATTGCGTTCCAGCCACAGCTGGAAAACCTCCACTATCTTGGGACTCAGTCACTTAAACCCAGGATAAAGCACCCATTCTACCTTATTTCTATTTACACACTTGTCCTCACTCCTTACAGCACCACACATTCTTAACAAAATCTTCTCTATAAATAACACCATGAGTAACAATAGCTTTGTGGAGTAAGCATTAGATATTTAGGTAGTCTGAGTAATAAGTGTTAAGACTATCTTATCTGTATATTGCAAGACTAAGTTATGCAATTAGAGCAATACTGTTAGATTTACAAAAGCTTTACTTTAGTTCAAGTGACAAATAGGAAACAATCATTTAAGAAGCATTGTTTCATCTTGTAGCAGCTAAGCTTGCAGCAGTGAGGAGCAGAACTAAGCTACTGAGCTGGTAAGAAGCTACACAACACCACACAAATTACCTTCTGTTATCCAGTAGAACAGGTGAAAGAAATGGAAGAAAAACAACGTTATTCTATTTAAGAATTTCTAATCAATATTTCAAATGCAACATGCTCACTCTAGCTTACAGATATTCTCATCCTACCTTCTTGCCAGCACCAACATTTGCCTTGGCTGTGCCCCTGACTTTCTTCATTCTGTTCTTACGCTCCTTTCGCTGCTTTCTGGAAGTCTTTTTCTTTTCATATAAGCCATGCTATTAAAAAATAGTTGAAGTTGCAATTAGCATTGTTTCAGACAATAACTTCTGAAGTTAAGTTTTACTATTTCTGGACTCTTCAAATACTGTTTAAACTTGAAATATTAGTTAAGTAGCAAAACAAGTTCACTAGTTAGCAAATAATTCAACACAGTATAAGCACTAAAGTAGCAAAGGTATCAGTCATCTCTCATGCTTCTTCAAGACCTTTGACAGTGCTTAGTTATCTACTACTGCTAAACATTACTGGTAACATCTATTTTACCTTCACAATTCCTCTACAGTAAAGAATAAAAAAACCCCTGTTTTGCAAATACAAAAGCTAGATGACACTGTTTTAAGACCTCTTACGAAACTCCAAGTACACCAACAGCACTTCCACAAAACTTAAACTTCTATACATATAAATCATGAACAACTAAATATTTCAAACCCATCTTAATTGTTCTCAAGTTAACAGAAAAACACATACCCTGGCAAGTCTGTGCTTTGGTTCATTTTTCTTTGCGTAGTCCAAAGAATCATAGATCATGCCAAAACCTGTTGTCTTGCCACCACCGAAATGAGTTCTGAAGCCAAAGACGAAAATTACATCAGGGGTCGTCTTGTACATTTTTGCAAGCTTTTCCCTGATTTCTGTTTTGGGGACTGTGGCCTTCCCAGGATGAAGAACATCAATCACCTAAAAAGGAATTTTTACAAGTGTATAAAAATAAGAGAAGATCAACATCCATTAAACCAACCAGGTACTATAGCACCACCATGAGCTTAACATTTCAACTAACCCACCTTAGCTGCATAAAGTATTATCAATTTCATACATCTGCTTCAAAAGACAAAGCAGCTCACTACCTCACCATTAAAATTTACCTTCAGCACGCACCAACATATTTAAACCTATAAGCTCTTAAAATAAGAAGAGCTTGAGGTTTTAAGGACTCCTTACTTCACTTACAGCTCAAAACCAACACACAAATAATACAAGGCAACTTTCTATTCCTTTACCATCTGCTTGCGCTGAAGCAGTCTGTTTGTCATGAACTTCCTGGTCCTGATGGTCACTGTGTCATTCTGCAAGAGAAGATACAAACAAGTAAAACAAGACAATAACGATACATACAAGTCAAACTCAGTAAATATATAAATAATGTACAGTATAGCAACAGCCTCTGACATCTCAGATGCTGACAACGAACTCATAAGCTAGCTGAACAGGTCCCGAGCTACAGGCCACATCCCTGTAAGGTACACTTTGATATGTACTTCTGAGTACACATCAACTTATGACAGAGTTACCCTCAGTTTCTAAACAAAACAGCAACACACATACATACACCCTTCTGAACAGCCAAGGCAGCTTTAATAAAACACACGGATTACAAGCCCAAACCCTACAACAGTATAACACAAATTCTTTAACAAATGAATGTATTACTGCTTCATTCATGTTCAGACAAGAACAGCCACAAGATCAGCAGATGAGCACGATCTACAGCACCCCTTGAACGCCTTAACTGCGATGCTGCACTCCTGTCAAGACCCAAGCCTTTTAGAGACTAGCAACAGGGCCACGTAGCAGGCCAGACACACTCCCCAGAACTCACCACTACCGACCGGCACCAAGACACATGGACCAGGCCGCAGGAGCCCCAGTTCGAAACAGCAGAACAAGCCCCTACTCAGTTTCCGCCATACCGCCGCAGGCGCTACAACCAAGCCAGCTCAGCAGGTCAGGAGTGCCGCAGAGACAGGATGCCGGCAAACCAGAGCGGATTGCCCCCCGCCAGCGGCAGACACTCACCATCTTAGCAGCGACCTTTCTGCCAGCGAGCGAGAAAAAGAAGGAAGACGCCTCCGCAGCCAATCATAAGGCGGTGCAGGGGCCTTTGGAGCTGGGGGCGGGGCTGTGTGCAGGGGTGTCCTTGCTGTTGCCGAACGTGGGAGGAAATGGTAGAGGTGGCCTTTTGTGTGCCTGATGGGGACTCTTGGGGGTGTACCAGAGAGAACGCCCCGGAAGGAGCTCCGCTGTGCCCCAGCAAGGGACACTGCAGGCGGGAATCATTCTGCGCCCGTGTCGCTCTGCGCCGCCAGGCGGGCAGGCTCTGCGCCTCCGCGTGCAGCCCTGCAGGACGCTGAGGTGCTACGGCCAGACCCCCCGCCGCCGCCACCATGGTGAAAGAGCAGTTCAGGGAGACCGATGTGGCCAAGAAAATGTGAGTGGGGCGGCCAGCGTCGTGCCCTACGCGGCGGGAGACTCCCGAGCCGCCGCTCCGCTGCCTGGGGTGGGCCGGGTGGCTGTGGAGGGGAGCGGTAGAGCGCCCACGGTGGGGTCTGGTTGCTGTAGAAGGACCCGGAAAGAGGTCTAGCGTGCCGGGGAGTGGAGTGCGGCTGGTGGTGCGGCTGGGCTTCATTTAAAAGCGCTGGCGTGGTCTGCGCTCTCCCGAGCCTCTCAGGGCTTGGCTGAGGCTGCTGGCGAGGCTGTGCTGCTGAGCGCCGGTAGGGTTGTCCAAGAACATTGATAAATCTCCTAGATATAAACGACCAACTCACTGCAAAACAGCTCTATTTTTTGTTAGTTGCTCTAAAAGAGCCTGCTCCAGTGAATCACCCTACCCTTCTCTGCGTTGCTTTTAACTAGATGTGTGTGCCTGCCTGTAGTTAAAATTATTTCTGTATATATTTGTACACATGCATACGTGTGAAATTTCCCATTCTAGAAGCCACATCTGTTTTGGCATGAAATCTCCAGAAGAGATGCGTCAGCAAGCTCACATTCAAGTGGTTAGCAAAAACCTGTATAGTCAGGACAATCATCACTCTCCACTGCAGTATGGAGTCCTTGACCATCGCATGGTGAGAACCGGTTTTTTTCCAGACCATTTTTGTAGAATTTCTTGAAGTGGTTAAAAATAAGTCAGGATTACTGAAATTTCATGCTCATCCAAAATATGTGCAAATGTGTCTCTACTGGAATTGCACAGACTGATAGTTGCAATGACAGCTACTTTTTTAAGCATCCTTTTGAGGCAGAATATAAGTTCTTTCTGACTAGCTGTTGGGATACCCAGAAACGTCCATCTACAAAATAGCATATTGTAGATCAGTTGCAAAAGCTGTATGAGTTAATATCATTCGTATCAGTAGGTGTGAAATACATTTTTCTTAAGGTTTGGAGTGAATGTAAGGCTACTGATGTGCTTCTGATGTTAGGGAAAAGGGATAAGTGCTGTGGATTTGCGGTCAGGATAGCTGTTGCATTTTCTGTATATTCAGTTGATTATAGTTAACATATTTTTCTGTGTGCGTGTTCTTCTCCCAAAGGGAACCAGTGAAAAAGATCGTCCCTGTGAAACCTGTGGGAAAAATTTAGCTGATTGTTTAGGACATTATGGGTACATTGACTTAGAACTGCCTTGTTTTCATGTTGGATACTTCAAAGCAGTAATAGGCATCTTACAGGTAAACACAATTATGTTTTGTCATCAGTTTCTAGTCTAGAAAAAGGAAGTTATCAGAAAAGTTGATGCTTGAAAAAGTAATTGAAAAGTCCAAAATAAGCTTGTATTATAAGTTTTACCTTTATGCGTCTTGTGTTTTGTAAAATAACTGTATTTAAATACCAGTCTTAGTGATGTAATTACATCCATCTTATTTTATATAATCTCAGACTGTTTACCTTAATCTGTTATTTTTTTGTATTAGTTTGAATTAAATGTATGCATTATAATTCACCTTTTAGGACATCCCATAAATCAAAGCTCTGTTTACTTTCTATTTGGATTTTTAAGATCCTGCAGAGCTTAGGTGAGGATTTACCTCATTGACTGTATTTCTTCCCGTGTACTTTTTTTGGTGTATTACAGCATATGAATTGGTCTTTCAGCTAAGACAAGTGTATTTCATTCAAAAAACTGCCCTCTGAAGAACTTAAGTTATAGTAGAAGATGTTACAACTCTCTGTGCATCTGTTAAACAACTCTGGTTTTATGTGTTTACATTTAAGATGATATGCAAAACCTGTTGCTGTATCATGCTGTCGGTGGAAGAAAAAAAACAATTTTTGGATTACCTGAAGCGACCTGGCCTTACATATCTTCAGAAGAGGGGGCTTAAAAAGAAAGTATCTGAAAAGTGCCGGAAGAAAAACACTTGTCCGTACTGTGGTGCCTTCAATGGTGAGTGCTGTCATTACCAGTTAGTGATAGTTGTCTACTGTGATGGTTTTTTACCTTGGTGGTTGTGATAGGTGTCAAAATCTTGAATATTCTTGTTTGTTCTACAGCTATTTGCTGGTAATTGCATTCTTAATGCCAAGTATGTGCTTGCTCACATTTCATTTATGTGAATAGAGACACCATCCTAGTTGCTTCTTTTGTTTCGTGTGGTATCTCTTCATGGTAGTAACCAATATTTAATAATGGCAAAAAAAACCAAACCCTGTCTAACATGTTTCTAAAAATACTGGGATCTACTGTCAATGATCATTACCTTAACTTAGAAGTTTAACCAGTTTTGGAACTCTGACTTAGTTGTTTTAAGTTTTCAGTGCACATTGATTTGCTTGCAGGAACTGTGAAGAAATGTGGTTTGTTGAAAATAATACATGAAAAGTACAAGACCAATAAGAAAGTGGTAGATCCGGTAGTATCTACTTTTTTCCAGTCCTTTGAAACTGCCATAGAACATAACAAAGAAGTAGAACCTTTACTGGGAAGAGCTCAGGTGAATTTTATTATTACTTAAATTTTCTGCCAGTTTTTGTACTTGAAATAAAACTCTTCAAAGGTTTTCAATGTAGCAGCTTAAGCCTTGTGGTGATCCAAGATTTCCATACACCTAAAGACACTTGAGGAATGTTTCTGGGTTTTTTTTCAATAATATTAACTTTGCAAAAATGAGAAATTCTGTTTATTGATATGTTCTGATACATAGCTTTCTGCTTGTAAAGAAAAGAGGATATTTTTGGTGTGTGAAACTCCATAAGCTAGAGAACAGAGAAGAAAGGCCCATAGAAGCTCTGTATGTATATGTAGATTTACTGTAGCTCTGAGATTATTACAATACACAGATTTATTTTTTTTCTTCAGAAGACCTTAATGTCAAGAAGGAGAGAGGAAGCTTAATTATTTAACCTTTTGGTTTTATTCAGCTTTGCATTGTGTGCAGTTTTGTTTCCTTCTGCTGTTTGAAAGCTGGGAGGATCCTGGAGTGCATATTTAGACAGAAAAGTAACAAATATCTGGAGCTTTACTGCAGCAGTAGCTGTATTAAAAAGAGGGAGATGGTGCTATTTTTAAAAAAAAGTCTATAAAGTACAGTAATTCATGTTAATTCCTACTGATAAAATGAATACGATATTCTGTAAGTTTGTTGTAAGACATTTATTGAGTTGTGTTGATAGGTAACTATGAAATAGTCTGTTAACTCTTTAAAAAAAAATAACATGATGAGAAGTAAACAGTGATTTATAAGGAAAAAAAGAAGGAAAAGACAATAGCAAGTTATACTTGAGATGCTGAAAGCATTAGTTCAGAATAAAGCAGTTTTGTTTGCACAAGTAGTTCTTATCTATTTGTCCTTTAAAAATGCTTGATTTTTGAACAACCAGTAAATGAGGGGAGGAGGGAAGCCTTGAAACTGTGACATGATGGCTTGTTTTCTCCTTTCTCCAATGGATTTTGTAGGAAAACTTAAATCCTTTAGTAGTATTGAACCTCTTCAAAAGAATCCCAGCAGAAGATATCCCTCTGCTTCTAATGAACCCAGAAGCAGGTAAACCTTCAGATTTGATCCTCACACGACTCTTAGTGCCTCCACTGTGTATCAGACCCTCTGTAGTGAGTGACCTGAAGTCTGGCACCAATGAAGATGATTTAACAATGAAACTGACAGAGATAATTTTTCTCAATGATGTAATAAAAAAGGTGAGTCATCCTTCAGTCTCTCAGAAGCTGTTGCATTTGAAAAGATTTGGTTAGAATTGAATGTAGCGAGTGGTTTTACTTGTCTTACTGCTTACAATCTAGCAAGCAGTCTGTACTGCAGTGCTGTGTTGTTTGGGATTTTACTGAAAGAAACAGAGAAACTTGTTTCAAATGGAGCTGGCTAACTGGCTGCTTGCAGCATAGGACCTAAAGAAGATCTGCCGGTGGATCATGGGACACATTTTGAGTGGTCACTTAAATGAAAACATTATACATATTGGGGTTTTCTTTTTTTCATGTAGACCTTCCTCTTTTTATTATTGCATCTTTGTCCTTTCTTTATTCTGCCATCTGTTCTTAAGGAATCAGGTTTCAGTTAGCATGGCTATCAAATTGAGACTAGAAGTGTATTTGATAATTTGTCATTTGTTTAGAGGAACGTTTCTACCAGACTAATACTTTCCAGGCTTTTCAAAGCTGGTCTTTTGTCAGGAAAACAAAACCAAGTGAGCGCTAACACCCCTGTGACTGAAAAATTACCTACTTGTGATTTTCCTGGCTGTGAAGTTATATTAGCTTAACTTCAGTGGCTTGGGAAAAATATAATTTAAATAAATACGTAGTTTTGTGAGCATTTATCCAAAGCCAGTGCTAGTCAAAAGAAATTCTTTGCTTGTTCTCTTGTGAATGGCATTATGCTATAGCAGTATGCTATAAAGTTATCTCACATTTTTCATTCCAACGTATGAAGATTTTCTAACATTATTTTTGAAATACTTGTATTCATACCAGGAAAGATTTTTGCTAGTTTATCTCTCGTTATATGTATTTTCTGAACTGAATGACTATTTTGTTTAGCATAGGATATCAGGAGCCAAAACACAGATGATTATGGAAGACTGGGACTTTCTTCAGCTGCAGTGTGCCCTGTACATTAACAGTGAGCTCTCTGGAATTCCTCTCAACATGGCACCTAAAAAATGGACCAGAGGTTTTGTTCAGAGACTTAAGGGAAAGCAAGGTTTGTCTAAAGAGCTGTTTTGAATATTTTTCTTTTTAAATTCAACCATGAATATTTGCTATTCCAAAGCATCTCTCTGCTATTATTGTGTTGTGTTTCAATGACGTACCTTTTCTAATGTGCTATCTTGACAGCTAACATTTTGAAAGCAACTTTTATATAAGAGTTACCGCTTACTTATTTTGTTAGGTCGGTTTAGAGGCAATCTGTCTGGAAAGCGAGTGGATTTCTCTGGCAGAACAGTCATTTCACCTGATCCTAACTTAAGAATAGATGAAGTAGCAGTGCCAATTCATGTTGCTAAAATACTAACTTTTCCTGAAAAGGTAAGTAGAATAGGACCAATACCTTCTCTTTGCCTTTTAATTTTTTACCAGATAACCGTTTTGTCCTTCTTCATAGCTTTTACTATAAGAGGGAGTGAATGTATTGCTTTCATGTTTGAAATGTCTTTCAGTGACACTTTTCAGTGATAGTTTGTACTATCAGATACATGCAAATACTGCGATGGCATATGGTGTAAGAAGTGACATAACAAGAGAGAAGGGTTTTGCTTGATGTTTTTTTAACTCGTACATAGCTTCATATGTTCGGAGTATCCGTCTAAGGGAGTGGTTGGGGTCTTTTATTTCTGAATTTACTTCCCAGATTTTTAATTTAATTTCACTCTAATGTTGTGCTCTCAGATTAGCTTACATTTTTCATCTCTATTCCCTCCTGCCTGTTTCCTTCAGCAGCTGAAGGCTGTGAAGGGGGATTGTCAGTTGAGCCTAAAATTGGAAAACACAAGAGCCACCAGCAGAAACAAAATGTCCTGAAATGTTTTTAATTTGTTTCTGATTAAAGTCTTTATGCAACAGGTGAACAAAGCAAATATTAATTTTATGAGGAAACTTGTCCGTAATGGTCCTGATGTTCATCCTGGAGCTAACTTCATACAGCAAAGGCACACACAGATGAAAAGGTATCATGCTTATCTGTAATGATTCACTTTTTGTGTCTCTCCGTCAACCTTTTCTTACTGCTGTGTGAAAACAGTTATACCTACAGGGATTCAAATTTAATTTGAGTCTTTCATAAAGGGCAGTAACAAAAACCTGTTATTATGTCCTCAGGTTTAGTGCACATTTTCTTTTTAGGTAATATGTTAGATTTAAACTTAAGTGTACATAATAATGATAATAAACTGCAGTTAGATTTATTTTTTTTAATTATTGAGTCTCTTATTTGTAACAGAGGGTGTAGTACAGAGATAAATGAAAAAAGGCAGTTTGAGGCATGCTTTACTGGCTGTTGTCGTGGGAGAGTTAGTCAGCAGTCAGTTTATGGGTAGTTAGAAGTGGTAGTATATAAGTGAAACTCACTGTACTCTCTCATACAACTGAAGCAAATTCTTTATTTTTATAAGTAGACCTTTTCCTTACTTGTTTCACTAGTAACTGTAGCTTTGCTAGCTAACGTTACAAATATAGTCATTATTTAAAATAGCAACAGGTCCGATGCTTGTTTAATAATACAATTTACACCAGTTTTGTCTTTTAGTTACTGTAATACAAATACTTCAAGATTTAATGGAAGAACCTGCATTATAAACACAGAATTTATTTTCATTTGTCTTTACATCTTTCTGAATTTCTCTCTTCTGACTTCATTGTTATGTGTTACTGTAAGGTTTTTGAAATATGGAAACCGAGAAAAGATGGCCCAGGAGCTGAAGTTTGGTGATATCGTGGAGCGACATCTGATAGATGGTGACATAGTCCTGTTCAATCGACAACCCTCTCTTCATAAGCTGAGCATCATGGCTCACATTGTAAGTGCACACACAGCCTAACATACAGGTACATACAGGTTACTTTTGCAGGTGTTTATCTCTCACACACAAAAATAAATAGTGTCTTCTGAAAGACTACACGAGGACAAGCATGAATACAGTGCAGTTCTGCTTTGGCATGGGAATTGACATGTAACAGGGCAGTATGCTGTCTGGACAATTTTGTTAATAGCCATAATTGACCTTGGTATCTATTCTTGCATAAGCATTTAATTTTTGTAGAGTTGATGTGATCTCTTCAAAGCATTTGTTTTCTGTGCTTTGTATAAGTTCTTAATGATGATATTTACTAGCTACATGTGTGTAATACAACCCAGGTACAATTTCTGTCAGTTCCTGGTTGAGTTAAATCCCATAATCAGAAATTTTGACTCATGTCTAATAAAAAGAAAAGATAAAGCCTACAGGGAAGCAGTCGGGCATGGCGTTTCATCTTGAAGCATCCTTGACTGCATGTGCATCAATTTTTTTTTTTTTCAGGCTAGAGTAAAACCTCATAGGACATTCAGATTTAATGAATGTGTCTGTACACCATACAATGCAGACTTTGATGGAGATGAGATGAACCTTCACCTTCCACAGACAGAAGAAGCAAAAGCAGAAGCACTTGTTTTAATGGGGGTATGTAGAAAGTGTTGGGGTTGGGCTCTTTGCTAGCGATAGATGGGCTAAGCACCGTATTTCTTAACTTGCATATGAAATCTGAAATATTATCAAGATACCTGGGTATGGATAATATGTGACTGTGAAGCTTCCTGAAACCTCTGCAGAAGGGAATTTAGAATAAATTAGAACTGTTACACAATGGCAGTCTAATAGACTTCTATTTGGTATCCATGGAAAATTCAGTGGTTTTAAGTAGATGTCACTAGTATATTTCTGCCTGATTGTCCTTAGTGTTTGCTGCCAAGATAGGGTGGCTCTGTTACCAAACAGAATATAATTTGCTTTCCGGCCCAACAGCCCAGAAGCTGCAGGCAGTCAGACAAACTGGAAATGAGGCAGCAATAGTCTGCTTTTACTAGAGAAGGCGGTTCACTATAGAAGACAGGAGACAGTATGTTCTTAGTGCAGGAAAAGAGGGCAGAAAGGAGGGTAGATAGAGGGATCTGATGGTTGCAGACATTGATCTGTGGTGTGAAAGTAGAGTCAGTAGCAACGATCTGAGGATTTTCCAGTATGTTGCCCCTTTAGGGTGACTAAATACCACTGCTACTTCAGATGTACTAATACAACTGTTGGCTACAGCATTTATTGGCTTACTGAACTGATTTGGGAGCTTAAAAAGGAAGCTCCTGCTCCCGCCTGCCCCAGTAGTGTGATTCAGGTTTGTGTTGGCCTGTGAACAGCTCAGACAAAACTGTGCTGCATAGGTGAGGGTGATTAATTGGAGCAGTAGTCTGTGTAAGGTGTAAGAAAATGGGGCTAGTGGAAGTGGCTAGCTTGGTTATTACATACCAGTAGGGACCACACAACTTTCAATATTTCACTAGTTCCCTGTAATTTCCAGTAACTATTCTCAAATTATTCCTTAACCGTCAGTGGATTTACATGAACTGCAGTGAACTGAAACTTGTAGTTTATTTTTTCTGTCTTTTTGAAGACAGCTGGATTTTGATTTAGAAGAAGCTTTTACCTTTTTTGCTGAAATAACCTTCTTATATGGTAAGTTTCCCTCTGAATAACAAATGAAATATCAGTGTCTTCAAATGTGGGGTTTTTTGTTTGGTTCTTGTGTCATACAGACTAAAGCAAACCTGGTAACACCAAGAAATGGAGAACCTCTCATTGCTGCTATTCAAGATTTCCTCACAGGTGTGTATATAAGCTTATTTTAGATGTGTGATTTAACAGTTGTTTGTTCAGAATCAGCTCCCTCTTTTCCAGGATTTTTCTCTATTAATTTAAAAGACTTTTTCTTTCACAAGTCAAAGTGACATTAGGAAAATAAGGCCTTTGTTAGTCTGAAGTATAATTATTTCCTCAGACTCTCTTCTAATACGGTCTACCTTTGTAGGTGCAATTATTTTTACCTTTGCCTATGTTTTGTAGTGTTCCTCCAGCAGAGAAAATAAATGTTTTGATCTTTGTATGCATTAGGTAGACAATGTAAACTGTGTATGGTAGTGGTAGAGAAGATGAATTCATTAGACAAAAATTAGTTTTAACCTACAGCAAAGTACCTTCAGGTTTCCTTAAATCTTTGGCAAATGTCCAATGGATATAAGGAAGAAACTGTACAAAAATTAATACCAAGACCTCACTTTTACCTATGGCATAGAGTCTGAGAGGGAGAATAGATCATAGAAATGCAGTGAGTTTAATTTTTAGAAATTTGAGTGTGGAGCAATTAAAGAAAAAAAAAACTGGAAAGGATTTTAAACTGAAGCTGTCTAAACTATTGTAATTTTGCGTAGTAAGTAGGTATCTAGTATGAGAATAAATTATTGATACTGAATATGCAATAGCTTTTTGAAGTTAATGTCATTTTAGTCTGTCACATTAATAATTTTTTTACATTCTAGGTGCCTATCTTCTTACATTAAAAGATACCTTTTTTGATCGAGCTAAAGCCTGTCAGATTATTGCTTCTATCCTTGTTGGGAAGGATGAGAAGGTTAAAGTTCGTCTTCCACCTCCAGCAATTCTGAAGGTGTGTCAAACTATATTTTTAACGTTACTAAGACTTTCTCTGTTGTGTATTCTTTATCCATTGTGGTGCTTTCAGCAGAGACAGTTCTTGTTTTCTCTGACGTTAATTTGTATGAGATTTTGTATTTGTAAAGTGATACGATCAGATTTCAGCGTCAAAGCTATGCAGAAGTTGTTTGATGGTTCCTGATGCTGAACAGCCAACCTTGCATGGTACAGTCCAGATGCAGGTTTCTTTCAGGGTTCAAACAGCTTTGCTACAATCCTGCTACTGTGAGACAGACTCCTTGGCTGTTGATGGTCTGTGGAAGATACATCATTCTTAGTAACCTCAGTGTTATTGACTGTGCAGACTGACATGGAGCTACATGGAGAAACTATGTTATTCCTTAGTGCCCTTTAAGTAATGTCCTGAAATGCTCAATGGTTCTAAATTGCAGTATCCTGAATTTAGGAGCTGTTAAACCTGGGAAAGA